CTTTTTATATGAACAACCTGTATTTGATTTATAATGGTAATAGGACTGAGTGGATTTCAATTGGGTCTGTAACCATACGAGTCATTGACAAAATCGTGGTAGTCCGATATGTTTGTATATCACGAGTATGATAACATATAGAATTGAGCGACACGAAGTCTTGTTACCAATTAATCAAAACTATGACAAAATTTGAGAAAGGAACTGGACATTGGTTATCTGTTTTCATTAAAACAAATAGTTTAACTCGGCGAAATGTGCGACAGCAGCGCGCACATGACGCGTACCGTCCACTAGCACAGGTTTAGCGTTAAATTGTCCCAGCACACTGTCCAATTACAAGCATGACACGTACACTATCCTGGTAGTGCTCAAATCGGACTGGTGATAACCAATCATGTTCAAAAATGTTGTTGTAGTTTTGATTATGCTTGTTAATCCACCACCCGGTTAATATCTTCACAGATCTCCAGTCAGAAACAGTCTTCGCAAATGTTAGTTTTAATAACTTAGTCTTGTTAAGGTAACAACAACTCACTTAAATGACTAATAGACAATTCTTGAAAATCAAAAGCAAGAAACAATCTTTCACGAGCCAAATCAGCACAGCACCAGAGTTTCTAAAGGCTCTAACACCTCCATTCATATATCAGTAACAAAACTCTGTATCAACAACATGACTAAGAGGAAACTAGTCAATGGCAAACGTTTACAGAATCAGTTTTAGTCTTATCAGGAAGAAAAAAAATGACAACAATGTCTTTAATTTTCGAACAAAAACACTTCCATTTCATTCACAGTGAAGTCTTGACTTCCTGTTAAAAAATAGTAACCATTCTGACCTACTGGGCACTGGTATGAATTGCCAAGGCTAACAGAGCAGTTGTAAGAATTTGGAGAGTTGCAAATATTAAGGTCATTTCCACCTCCAAATACTGGGCCATCGCTACTGTAGCAAAAGATGGCTTTTCCATCCATACCATCTATCAAAGGCAACTTTGTTGGTGGCAAGCCACTGGCATTGACAAGGCTGAACAGGAAAGAACAAAAAAGAAGAAAAAAGTTTTTCATGAATTTGCGACAGGAGAAAGTTTACTAGAAGTTTCTTAAGATAAGGTTTGAGCTATATGCCAAGAAGCTCTCATTTAATATTTTTAGTAGAACTTAATAGATCGCGAGAAGCTCGGTATAACAACACGTAATCGTCGCCTAAGCTTTCGTAAGTGTCCTTCAACCAGTCTACCAGGGTCTTGCACTGTTTTGAAGAGAGAATTGCAGAATCTTTAAACGGCTTTGCTTTCAACTCATCGAGTATCCCATCGATTCGATAGAATTCTGCCTCGTTTAACAACTCCTTGCGAACGACCTTATTGTCCGGTAAGACGAGTTTCCCAGTGCGAAGATAATTTAAGATATGTCGGAAGTGTGTTCTCGATCGATGAAGTAAGATCCATCCTCGCCAGGTTTTGTGTCAAATCTGCCTGAAAACATGGCATGTAACGTGGAACCCGTGAAAACATAATAAACAAAACCCTTTTAATACCTGAATCCTATTTTTCACTAAGAATCAACTTCATTTACCCAGTTTGGCGGGTGGCATCGTACATCACATGGCAAACTATAGTCAGCCATATCAAAATTGTTTTCAGCGTGATGTACTGAGTTAACTAGAAGTAATGGTGGATTATTTAGGACTGCGTTCCACATGCCTGTCCGTTTTTAAACAAGCGTAAAGAAGCAGGTATAAGCTCAGAAATCGGCATGCAAAACGGAAGTATCGTTTCGAACAATAGACTTTAAAATCGAATTCTCTCAGCTACTAAAACAGCTGCGGGCGCAAGTAGGATTTGAATTTATGGATAAACAATTGAATGGAGGCGAACTTTGTACAGACAGCTAGAAATCAATCCTTCGTTCAAAATTGAAAACTTGCTTCAAAGTACCTGGATCTTTAGTCATAGTCGCCAAACTTGTGGAGAAAAAATGGCCTCCGACGTTGAGTTTCAGCATGGTCGAGAAATGAACATGCTCGAGCTTCTTTGCCACCTCGTCAAACGCATTTCTTTCCTTGCGAAGCTAGTTTGTTTCACGCTTCAGAATGTCGAAAGCGTCTTTGATGTGATTATTTACTTCGTCTAGGGCTTCATCGGCGGGTAAATCTTTCTCTGAGTTACGCTTCGACGACATCTTAATCCAAGTGAGTCAAACAAAAAGACAGGTACCGAAATCTTTTTTTTTTTTTTTCCGAGAAGCCCGAGATATTTTTTCTATTCTCAGAATCTGATTTCTTGGAAATTTATGCGTGTATCAATTTCATCATGTATTAATTACTTGGAAAACGTTAATTAGCAATAACTGTGTTTCTATATTTACACAATTTTAAGCTGAACACTACTGACTATGCAAGAAACCCAATATTAGAATGAAACAGATAAAATAAAACAAAATGCACAGAGGAGACAATAACAGTTAAGGATGCTCCAAAGGGTTTTCAAAAGTGTTGGCGTGCGCGCCAGTGGAACGCTTTTCAAAAAATGTTTATGTTTTCGCTTTTCAAGGTCACTAAAGGCCATTGAAAGGCTCTGAGCAAAGTTCGGACTATCGCTTGCTGTAGTAAATATCATCGAAATGATTTTCATTAATAGGCTAAGACTCCACGAAAGGAGGCACTAGCCATCGATAATTTGGCTTTGTCTTTGATTTTTTTTAATTTGTTTCCATGAAACCTTTCAAAATTTTCATAATTTGTAAATATCGTCCTGTCCATCATTTAAAAGCCGAAAAAAATCGGTTTAAAGAGGCAGTTTCCTCGATTTTTGAAATGTTATAACTTGGTCGCATTTTTTTATCAACAGGTACCAGAAAGGGCAAAAATATGGTTAAAGGTCCAGCAAACCTTAGGAAATTCCACCGAAGGAAACGCGATGAATCTCACTTGAAAGATAGCTATTTTCTTTGTCTTAAAACATTACTTAATGAAATGAAACTTCGCCAAGATCGATATCTAAGCTTGCGTAGACTTTCGAATCTGTCGCCTTTTGGCAATCTTTCCCACGGTGTTTCCTTTTCAGTTGATCTCTTTTTCAGGCGCACAAGGTCTATGAATATTACGGGCGCAGTTACTGG